TATATATATATATGGGATATGTGTTCCGATTGGCAAATACGGAAATAAAGGTGTTATTAATTTCCAGGATATAGATTTATATACAAGCTGAGAGACTATAGTAAGTTATAAACTAATAGATTATGACTAAATATTCACACTATCTTCACACGTCTTCTATACACTCACGCGCAGGACTGTCTTTCAACCTGATATTACTACATATATGTATATAGCAAACAAAATTTCTTTTTGGGTTTGAAATTTGGAATATTCTCTGTGATAGACAACAGAGGGGAAACTGAAGAACCATTTGCTAATTTATTTCGAGTTACTTATAGATTGTATTTAGAGATAGAACAAAATTTGACCGATAATAGTACCTGCAATATTACTACAATAGCACGTCAATACTATATGCTAATATTTTACACGAGGATGTATTAATATACCCGAAAAATTGCAAAATTAGGATTATTTATTATTCTTAATAAGTTTTGGACATCTATAACAAGAGAATAAAATGATATATTATAAATTTTGAAACATAATTTTCATAATACTTCATAAAATCGAATAACAGTGGACAAACAAAATGGATTAGAACTAAGTGACACGTGTCTGCAATGTTAATTTATTTTTGTAACAAAATGGCTGAAATGGCTAATATCTAGCTTTGATCGGAACTGTGAGACTTCGATTTCGTGGAAAATAAATTAGTATAAGTTGGTGTAAAATTGGTAAATTTTAGTGCGGGGTTAACACTAAATCTGGCGAATTTTGGACGATATCGAAAATAGAGGAACATTCTTTCGAATAATGTGGAAAAAAGAAATAGTAAAAAACTGTGACTGTCATATTTGCATTCTTTATGGTACGTATCGCGTTTTAAAAGAATTTTTCATTCGCAGTGCCGACCAAAATTTTCTTCCCAGGCAAGAGTGTCACGTACTTTTTTCTTCTTTTTCAGAGAGAAGATTACAAAGAAACTTTTTCTATCTCTCTTCCTCTCTCTTCTTTTCTCCACCCTTTTTTAATATACAGAGGATGAGGGATTTTGGAGAAATTTTACGAAAAAAAAGCACCTGTCGGAACATTTAAATATGCGAGCTAATGCCTTTCGCGTGGATATTTTACCATATAAAGCTTTTCGGCCGTAATTGAAATGAAACATAAATGGTGTTACATTGAAAAATCCGATTACAGAATAGAATGTTTTAAAAACGCGTAGGGGAACATTTTCGCCGGTATGAACGCGATGAAGAAATAAAAAGTCGTACGATGAAATATGGAACATACATGTTCGCGCACAAGAAAATCCTTTTTTCCCTTTTATCTTAATAATTCTACGGCGTATCCGTGTTTTTCCCCGTTTCATTCCATCCAGATCATCGCGAACGCGATTTCGATTCCGATTTATACACAGAAACCATCGTTCGGTTAATTTAAAGACGAATAATAAATTTTTTTAATTCTAACAAAAATACGGTAGAACGTTTGGGACGAAGAGATATTCGAATAGTGAAATAGTTGGGATACTAGGGCATCGAATAATGGAAACTTTGTCATCCGCCATTTTCCTTCACGACGAAAATTGATTTCTAAATTGTGCGAAAAAATCAAGTACGAAACTCGATACCATAACCAAATCCGCTTGCCTGTTCGACCATATCGAATCCAAGTTGAATGGATTAAGAGAAATATTTCCCTATTTCCTTTTTTACGAGCAATCGGTCCAGTCTCGAATAGTAGAGTTTGTCTCTGCTGCCCTCTTACGTTGTTCGCGGGAAGCGAACGGACGCACTGATGAAAAAGTGAACGAAAAGGGACAGAAGATGGAGGGAGTGTAGCAACCTCCAGCGACTTACGGGAAATTGTAAATTTGCTTGCCCAACGGACGAGATTGAAAAGCATTCGCGGACCCCACAGGACAATCGATCTCTTTGCGTAATGGCCCAAATCGTGATTCTTTTTCGGCTTTAATAAGACAACGAGCTGTATTTTCCTGAAATGTTTCCAGTTAAACCTGGAAAATTGATACTGCTGATATGGGGTGTAAAATTCATATCAACTTGATATTTAAATCTCATAGCTAATCATAATTGGTCAGTTAACCATACTTTCGAATTATATTTTGTATTGGAAATTGTGTGTAAGTAATATACGAGCACGCAAATATTTAAAAATGTTAAAAAATTTTCAAACCGAATATCATATATCTATGATTGCAAGGGAAAGCACCTCGTGTTTATTCATTAACTTACGAAATATATGATTGATATATTATTTAAATATTATTCCCTTTCTGCCATCCTATTCTAGTATATTTATACTAAAATAAAATTCAATTTTTCTCTGTTTAAAAAACCTCGAAAATTTCGTAACAAAATGAAAATACCGGAAAACATAAGTAAATAGTATGACGTCATACCGATATTTCTGCATATACATTTTTAGAAAGGTTACGAAGGTACTGCCGATATTCACCGTCTCCATAGAAGTCCCTAAAAATAACATTAAATTCTACAGTCTAATTGCATTTATCTGGACTCATCGACTAGAAACAGTTCATACATACAACTACGCTTTATACGTATAACAGAAGTTCACTGATCTCCATCCCACCCACAAATTCTCGTTCGAATAATAAGAGTCCACGTTCGAGTAAGTGGATTCAATCAACAGAAGTTTGGTTAACCGTGACTAACCTTTCGTTCCAATAGATGGAGTTCTACGCTACTCTACCCAACCCCCTCTCCCGGCGACGTAAGAACGCTGTCTTAGGTCCGAGCCATAAACTCGAAAATATCGCGACGAAGCTCGCGGCTGTATGATCGTTCTCATGTGGACCGGCCTGATACCCTCTAGCGAGAGCTCGCGTGGCGATAAAATATGAGGAACAGCCGAATTCTGGAACGGTGCGAAGAGGTCGTTGAAAAACTGGCGATAGGAGGACGAGACAAAAGATTAGGCCGGCTCCACGAAACGGAGCTTGATGGAAGCGGCAACAGAAGTACCCACGCACATTCTACACGGAACACACGCTCCTTTCACCGTATAACCTGATTCTCCCGCCCCTCGTCCGTGTGTACCCGCGTGCACGTGTACGTACGCGGGGGTGTGGAGACGTGTGTGTACGTGTGTGTATGCATGTGCGTGGGTGACGTCACTAAAAGCTCTCTCGCCGCTAATGCATTTGCGGAGGGGGATTCCCGGGGGAGGAACAGGAGAAGGAAGGCGCCAGTGCCGTATCTATGAAGCGTGAAAAATCGATCCTGAAATCACGTCGGTGAATTCGCGGACCGATTACGACGGATCATCGAGCGAAACGATTGACTTCGAGCGTATGGCCCGTGGTTCGACCACCCGTATAGTGACCTAGGTGGGAACCACCAGAACAGCTGCCTCGGAAATCGTCTAACGCGAACAGATTGCTGGGAAAAGAAGTTCGTGAAGTTTGGAAAGAAGTTGAAGATGCAGTACAGAACGAATTTTGAAGAGAGAAATAAATTGAATATTTTGTGTAAAGAGGAAGAGAAAGAGGAATACTTGAAAAGAATAGAAGGAATATACGGGGTGCCTTGTAACCGTGATGGAATCTGAAGAGGTGATGTTACTTTAAAAAATAAGTCAAAAGTGTAGGATAACATTTTTTCATATGAAGCTTCGTTTTCGAGAAAAGTGAACTTAGAAAACTGTAGACGTGACTATATATAGCATAATCTTCTTGAAAACAAAGCTAGATATGAGAAAATGTTATATTCTACATATTCGGTTTACTTTTTCACGCAGAATCGTTTCCTGCTTTATTGTAAGAGCGTTACAGGACATCATGAATAGGAAAGGAGAGCGGGAAAGAGAGGGAAGTATTAGTTAATTTGTTAGGTTATTGGGAGTAGAAACGACTAAAAAGATAGGAAAGATGAAACGGTGAATTAAATATAGCAGGTAAAGAGACGCTGTATGTTTGGGATATTTGAAAAATAAAATATTGTAGGTTAGAAACTCTTTCATTTGATGACGCAGAAGATATGAAGATCAAGGTATATTAACATAGCTCAAATTTTAATAAAGCGCTCTTTTTCTCTCTCAACAAAAAATTCGTTAAATATTTTGAAAGAATTACTGAAATTATATAAAAATTTAAGATTCGCGATACGTCAGTGGGAACACGTGCGTTTCAACCTCGGTTCTCTACTTTCAACCTCGTTCTCCCCTTTTACACTTCACTTATCCATTAGAGTTATACCACTGTAGCATTTTCTCTGTCGACTAAAAGAATCGATAACCATCAAAAGTTTCAGAATTCTAGCTCCTACATATATGTAAACCTGTACATATTATACATATCCTTGTAAGACACATAAGGAAGAAGATATCCGTACCTATCACGAACTTCGACATTGAATTATTAAATAACCATTTCAATGTCCAGAATTGCAGAAACCGAATAATTTATGTTAAAATAATTAATTATCATTTCCACCACTACTATGGTACAATAATTAAATATTAAAAAATCAAAGCACTTGATTTCGAAGTAAGTAACCTGAAATTCCAATCCTTATAGAAGAATCAACTTCCAGTTAATAATTATATAATAAAACGAGTTAAATCATTAAAATTCTACAATTCTATTTCAATAGTATAATAGGAGAAATTTTTTATTTTAATTTAGAATTTTCGTTTATTTTATATTTAATCTAACCTCAAAATGATCAATTTTCAAAGTCAGAGTACAACGCAAATAATTCGAATTTTTGCAAGTACCGTATATCTATAGGCATACTTCGATATTTATAGCCGAAATTCTTCGATGAATTTCGATATCCAGCTTACCGACTTCAACACTTGAACGATCAGAACGAGAGAGTTAAATATTCTGGGCTGTGGAGCGGTGAATGCGAGGCGAACCAGGCCTTAAGACTCTTAATCCTTATTTTGACAAGTCGGACAGGACAGGCATGATGGTTTTTGCCTTCGTTTATTTACCAACCTCAAAATGAGATCGAAAAACAAGCACAACGAAGGAGAATTCACTCGCATATCGCTGCTCCATGGACTCCCGATTTATTTGACGCTGCTCGCGCGAGATCATTGATTATACAGGGTGTTCTGCAATTGACGATACAGTCGCAGAGAATGATCCTTAATTAAAAAAAAAAAATACTTTCTTTCATCTTCCCTATCCCTACACATTTTCACTTTTGTCTTTTTTTGTAAACAATTGAACAATTTTTTAATAAATAAATTACTTTGTACTGAAAAATGTGTAGAAATAACATACAACAAAATTTTGAATTATATGACATTTTATGGATTACAAAAAATAAAATTAATTGAAAAAATCAAATGTGCTATTTTATTTAAAAAACTGAGATTAAAATTAAAACCTCTTTCTTACATTTTTAAAATTTTAAAAAATAATCGTATACAGGTGAACAAAAATATTGCAAGAACTTGTGAAGTATTTAATTCCCAATAATTTTCTTTTAATATTCCATTACGTTAAATAATAAAAATTTCATTAAGAAATATAATTTCTACTGGTTTTATAACCACTCTATATAGTAAACTCAAAATACAAATATCAAAGATAATTATAACACGCATCAATATCGGTATCTCCTCTATTAAATAGCGTACTATTTTTAATTGCAACACTAACAGGAGAGCTTTAAAATAAATGAAAGGATCATCCCTCAACGAAGAAATGATGAAACGATATACGAATAGCCCACTCTTCGCCACGAAATAAGTGGCAGCGTAAAAAAGTAGGATACTACCAGATGGAAAGAGGTGCCGACACCGCTTAAAATGCCTCTGTTAACTAGCTGAAAATTGTATTCTTAAACAAGCCCAGACTATTAAATTTTGAAAAGATATGTATCGTTGAAACTGATTTACGGGTGTAAAAAACCGAGTATATATTAAAAACTTCGAGCAACTGTTTCAAAGGAGACAAATAATAATAGTAACAAAACGATGGAGTTTGACGTACCTCTAAATGTTGAAGCAGAAGATCCAAGATGACAAGGATTTTGTTGCTTGATAAAACTGCTTCGATGTTAGTATCATTTTCGCTGACACTTAACTTAAATACACGACATATTGAAAGAACGCTCCTAAAACACACAAAAATTTGCATATAAAATTTAAATAAAAAGCATGAAATATAAAATGATGTATCTATTTATATAAAATTCGATAATTAAGTAAATATTACATATTAACATAATACTTTACTATGTAAACACATGAAGTTAATATAATGAAAAGATGAAGTTAACATCGATGTATTACTAAATTATTAAATTCATCGTATATTAAATTATTTAATGTAAAATATAAAAATTTCAAGAACAAACTTACTTGTTTGGTAAATTATGAGATGCATTTTGTGTTTGCAATCCCAAATTCAACAGATTAGTCAAAACATCGAATCCATTTAAAATTCGGAATGCATTTTGATCAAACGGGCACTGAAACATTCCAAAAGATATTTGTTTTAAAAACATAAACATTAAATACATATTTTTTAGGGCAATATATCTTACCAATTTTGAAAAGGCCCTTGTTATTTCACCCAAACAACGTTCTAATACAGCAATGGCAACGCTTGACCAAGCAGTCTTTAAATGATTATTATACAATCGGTCTAATTCTTTCAAATTTCGACGAAATTTTGCTTTATTACCCGATTCAATAGTTCGATTTACATCTGTCTTATGATTGTCTTCCCATTCTTTACCACGTAGAATCATACGCTGTTTCATTTTTCTACATCGACGTTTTAAAGCTTTTTGCCTCTCTTTTGCAGCTTTGATCTCGTTAGAATTATTATTATCAATGACTGAAATTGGAACATCACGAATTTGAGATATATTAAAGCGTTGTAATTCATCTCGTGATGGTTCTCGTCCATCATGTGTATTGCGTACTGCTTCTAGATGTGTTTTCCCCTTCAAATGGCTTAACAGATGTACTTCATTAGGTATCTACGAAAAATGTAGCAAACGTATATATTATGTAAATTACTAATTAAAACTAATAAAGTATAATTTAATTCATTGACACTTACAAGTGTTCCACATAAAGAACATTGCTTTTGTGCAGGGTACGATTTTAATGTAGGTGGAACTTCTTCCGACCTTAAAATCGAAGATTCAACTGCTCTTTGTCGAATATGTTCTATATTCTCAACATGCCTTCTAGCTGATTCTTGTTGTTTTTGAGCTATCTTCTTTTGTAATTCTTCTTGATTGGCTAACTGTGCTGCATGAAGTGCTGATAAACGTTCTTCTCTATCTCTGGCCTTTTCTCTTGCAAGTTCCTATAAATTTTACTAATTTAATATCGACATTAAGTACACAATATTAAACTATAATTCATTAAATATAATTACCTGACGTTCTTTTTCTCTTTCTAGCTGCATTTTTCCAACCCTTTCTTCGCGTTCACGGCGAGCTTGTTTCATTTTTTGAATACGCAACTGCCGTTCTGCTTCCAACGCTCGTCTACGTTCTTCAGCTGCAGCTTCTTTAGCTGCTTTCTCTTCTTGACGACGTTGACGTTCCTCTTGAATTCCCTAAGAAACAATTAATACGTATAATACAAGAATTTATAATCTTTATTATTAAAAGTGTAAATATGTACAACATACTTGTAATCTTTCTTCTTGTTCTTGACATAATGCCATAAAATCGTGTCTCTTGTTCTGTGCTTCAAGTTCATTAATAAATGCAATTTCTTTTAGTTTAGAATCCTCATCATGAGCTTTTCTTACTATTTCCAGTAAATGTTGTGTTCTGTTTTCTTCTGCCTTTTTCAATTTCATTTCCATTCTAACTCTCTTATCTTCTATTAATTGATTTTTTGCACTTTTAACATCTTTCACTTTATTGAACAATTCTCGTAACCTTTGCGACTTCTCCATTAAGAGTTTCTGTCGTTTATGCTGTGCACAAGCTTGTTTTGCTTGGTACCGTCGTAATGTTTCAGGTAATGATCGTTTTCGCGATGGCGAGGATAATTTCTGATGCAATTCTAAAGCTCTACCAGGGTGACGAAGAACTAATGCATGTAACTGAGCAAGTATATCTGCACATTCTGCCACAGATACTCCCTCAAATATATTTTCATACCTGTGAAGTATTATTTTAAATTTAATATACAGGACAAAAAATAAAATAACAGATACAATACATACCTATCATCTAAACTAACATCGTCGGGCATTGTATTGGGAGATGTTTCTTGTTCATCTTCCATTTCAAGGACCATTTCTCCATCTGTTTCATCAGTTTCTGTATCAATATCAGTTTCAGCACATTCTAGTTCTAAAATCTGTCTGTGTAAAGATGCTTCTTCGTCTGATAATTGTTGCGATCGCTGCGAATCGGCTTCTTCCGTCTTCCTTTCCTCTTCCAAAATTATTCTTTCTCTTTCTGCTTGAGCAGCCATAAATTGTTGTATGCGTTTCTCAAGTAATTCTGCATCACTTTTAAAAATAGCTGCAATCATTGATGTAGAATTTATTTCATTTAAATTAATGGTATTCTTGAAAACTTCTTCTACCTTATCTTTAATGGTAAGGTTTACACCAGATTCTCCTTTAACTTTTTCTACCTCATTACTTATATTTTTTCCTTCTTTTTCTACAATACACTTCTTTTTTTGTTTACCGTTTCCATCTGGAGTTAAACAATTTTTTTTATTCTTTTCGGAGGGACTTTCAATTGACAAGGCTGGTAATGATGTAGCAGTACTTGGTTTATGAAATCTTGTAGACATGTTTAAATTATGTGTACTGCCCCTTCTATAACGGCTACGAACCGTTTGCCAACCATCAGTTTCTTCTTTCGTTTTTGTACATGTCTGTTTTGTTAATACTTCTACTGAACCATTTATATCTCTATTCTGATCTTTTTTCAATGAACTTTGTTCTGAAATCTAATAAGCATTTATAAAGACATACTATGTATTGTAAATTAATATTATTGAAATAAAAAAGGAAACATACCTTATTGTCAATTGATTGATATCTTTGCCTAACTATTACAGATGTTCCAGGTCTTGTTTTATTCGAAACTGATGTATTTTTATCATTTAATGTAGTTTTACTCCTGACAAATTTTGGAGTTTCTGGAAGAGTTGGTTGCTTTGGCTTAACAACCTTCATTTGTGATACTGTTGAATACGCTGGTTTATTTGCATTAATTATCCCTTTAGTTGAATTACTGGATGATGTATCAGATGTTTTTACTGATTTTGATGTACCTTTAGTATCCAATTTACCTTTTACTTCTCGAGATAAACCTTCATTTGCTTTCTGATCTGGACTAATGTTATTAGTTTTAACAGCTACTGTATGTTTTACAAGAGTTTTATTTACTTTTATTGAAGCTAATTTATCTTTACTCAATGATTGATTTGATCCCTTGTCTATTGCACTTTTATATTTTTCACTTACATTTATTACATTATTTTTGGAAATATTACTTTTATTATCCTTTATTAATTTGTGCACAGGTTCTCCTTTTATATGATTTACTTTATTGTCTATAGTAACAGACTTATTTTCTGAAATAACTTGATCAACAGGACTTCTACAAACAGACTCTGTGGGACTCATTCTTTGTAAAGGACTAGTAGATTTTGGAATTATTGTTGAATTCCAGATTCGACAAGGAGAAGTTTTCCTAACTTCCCAAGCTAAAGGAGTACGCCTTAAGGGTGGTGGCGAATTTTCATAAGCCCATTTAACCTTAAACCACTCAATCAAATTATGAAAATCTCTAGTATAGTTCTCTAAAACTAATATCACTTCTTTACATTCTGAAATGTTTTCATCTTCTTCGCATGTTTGGTAAATGCCATCTACTGCTCTTTGCAAATTACCAAATAAAAATGCCCAGTACCTTGCCTGCAATTCTAATATAAAAAAGCAGAAATGTATTAAGTTTATATATTAAAAGTTATGAATTTTAAATTTGTAAAAACGTAGTAATAACAAATATATATGGACAATTTAAAGGAAACCTTTACACTTTACTAAAAATAAATGTATAATCTTAAATGGAAAAGGATATCAACTTACCAGATTTTTTATCACGACCAGTAGAAGCTGATCTTACTCTAGTTGTTGGTTTCATAGATCTCTTAGTAGTATTTGTCTGTGATACTCTTGGAACACTAGGAGGTTTTTTGGTAACCTTCTCAGTGTTGTTTGTTCCAACTGGTACATTGAAAGCTATCAAATTTCTAGCTGCTCGACCTTCTTCTTGTATAAGTAACCTTACATCAGCCATTTTTACTAAAGTTTTATAAAGAAATTGTGGGATTTTTGTTTCAAGTGAAAGTATCGTCAGACTTGGCAATCTTGCAATGCACCAGTCTTTCAACCTGGTCTGCTGGCGTAATATCTGTCTCTTTCGCCGGCCACAAGTACCTGTTTATAAAAGTCATAAACCATACATATAACATTTGCATTATTCAGTATATATCAATTGTAAAGAAACTGCTTAAATATAACAATAGTTATGGACCCAATAGTCGCGAAGTTGTAAGTATAACACGTGAGTTTATACATAACCTCAAAGTTGTAAACGAACCACGTGTTGCGAGATGTGTAGAAATTAACTCTTATACGAAATTGTGTATAAACTACATCTTGTGGAATTATCAAATGAAGACGGTGTTACAAGAAAAAAGAGATAAAGTAGAGGCAGTGAAGAAGTTATGTAAAGATCGTACTTACGATTTGCAATAAGCAACAAATGCTAATAAGGCATCTGACTTCTCTTAGAGAGACATGAAAATAGTTAGAAAAATTATATGCTTCTCGTTCTCATAATAGTAAATATTGTACCGTAAAATTGTGTCAAAGTTATATTCAATATACCTCAACAATTATTATTCATTTGAAAGTTACTTGGAACAAATAAGTTATACAGTGACAGAACTTATTAAAATATGAATAGCCAAATAAAAAATCAGGATTTAGGAATGATGCTTTTGTGTGCTCTGTCCAATGAATGGAATACAGTAATATCTGCACTGTCTAATCTACCAACAGAAGAATTTAATATTAAGAGGTAACTTCTTGTAGAAGTAGCAAGACAAAGAAAGTAATGAAGGTAAATAGTCTGTTGTTAGTTAAACCTAATAAACCTTCTTGTTGTAGAAATGTGACAGAGCCTGGCAAAGAAGTCATACAGAAAGAAATTATTTGTTTCAAATAGCAGAAGCCAAGACATATTAAAAAATTGTAAAAACAAAGTAGCTTTGAAAAGTGTCAATTTAAGCCAAAGTATATGCATGATATCCTAAGTGTTGTAATTAATGAAGTTCAAAATGGTACTTTTAATACCAAATATTAAAATCAACATATTATAAATGGCATATAATTATTAAGCATAGCATATAATCATTAAATTACATAGATATGTAACTTGTAGGAAATGGATATTTTATAGCTATATATTGCTTGACAAAGGATATAGAATATGGATACCAGGAACAACTAAAGTTACAGAATCCAGAGATTGTGTATTTAAAGAAAATATAAAATATAAAGAAAATTTAAATTGAAGCACAGTGAGCATTCAAACAGAACTACTGGAAGTGATTGATAATAAAGATAAAGGTCCAAAGGTAGATAATGATGAAGATTCGCAAAGCACAATTAAACAAGTTATTAGTTTCTAGCAGGATGAGATAATCTATATAAAAGTAATGAAGTAGACCAAAGAAAACTCAGGGTAACCTCCCTAATGTACCTGAAAGAAGTCATCTTATGACACCTAGGAGTAAAAATGATATGGAATCAGATGATGATCAAGAATTTATAGAAGTACAATCAAACTTAGTCAAGGAGACAAAGTGTTCAAAATCAAGATCGTATGAAGAAGCTAAAGTTACAGAATCAGAGGACCAACCATATACAGAATGTATTGAGAAGGATTAATCGTGGATTCCTAAAATTTTTTTTTTTTTTTTTTTTTTTTTTTTTTTTTTTATTAGAGAATTAGAAATCATTCCGAGTCAGAATATGTGGAATTTTTGTTTTAAGTAAAAGTATCAACAGAGTTGGCAATCTTGCAATGCACTTGATCTGTTAGTGCAATATCTGTTTCTTTTTATTTTCACAAGTACCTGTTTATAAAAGTATTGAAGCAGAGATATAACATTTGTATTCATTATATATCAATTATAAAAAAATTGCTTAAATATAATAGAAATTACAATCAAATTCTTTTTTTTTGAATTGCACAGATATATCAAAACATTTAAAAATATCAAAATAATAAAATATAAATAATAAAAAATACTAAAAATCAAATTTCAATGATTCATCATCCTCATTAATAATATTAAGAATATATACCTTTTATTTTAAATAAAAAAAAGAAACTGAAATATTAATACTTTTAAGAAAAGAAATGTTCAGTATAAATATGATATTTTAACTCTTTCATGGTAAATCGAAAATTTTTAATTTTATTACAAGTTTAAGGTTATATTACTGTTACTTACATTTTAGATATCACAAAGTAACAAATAACGATTAATTATGTAAACAAGCAAATAATTACATTTTAATGACATTATCAGTATTATTTACAATCCAATTAATAAATCTATTTGTATTTACACTATTTATGCTTCACTGCGTAAGTTTCAAATTATAATGATGTTTATATTTTTATTATACAACTTACCTTTATCGCAATTGCAATTATAAAATATCAAAAAACGGCTGACTACAAATTGTTTTCAAATAACGAGAACTTCGAACTGACATTTCAATAGTGCTACAAGACATTTTATGACAAATATCTTCTAAGTTTCGCGGTAGTTTGTTGGTTGCACTGATATTGCTGCATTAAACCTGCAACCCCAGTATAAAGTTATACAAATAATAATGAAAATAATTTGAATGTACGGTTGTATTATATTGATAATATACAATCTTTTAATTATTTTTAATTTCTTTAACTGCATGTTTAAAAAATGTAACTAAATAATTGCACAATTTATTTATTTTTATTTTACTCTTATAAATTAAATTCTTAAACAATTTTTAAATTACTTTTATAATCTCATACATATAACATTTTCTTACATTTTTTATATGTTTGTGTATATTATGTAAAACTATCAAAATTTTGTTCATAACATTTTGAAACCAAATTCATGTATATATATAATTATTTGATTGATTAACTACCAATACACAAAAATTAACACAAAGTATAATGTATAAAAAAAATAATGAGAATTACTAACTAATACCTTGCAGTAAGATATAATAAGAAACAATAATTTTTGTTTATAAAGTATTATGAAGCCTCATTGGTTATACAAAAAATGTTGAAGTGAAAATTATAACTATGATAAAAGTATGATAAAATTGATTAGTTTTTTATATGAGAACGTTTCCATATAAACGTGTATGAAGTCGTAAAATTTAAAAGTTATAATATTCATATGATAACGACAAGAAGTATTATTTTAAGACATTGTTAAATTGGTTTACGCAGTGAATTCGTGTACAGCGCCATCAACGCGTGATAAGATGAATCGCTAGAAGCGGTTGCGAGGGCTGTAACACACATTTACGTGTGGAAATTTAATTAACACTTTGTTGAAGTATCTCTTTGGGGTTGCACCATAGATCCCAGGCAGATTTTTGAATTCGGCTGTAAAGCCGATTATCACGAAACACAAAAGTGCTACGAAAATAAGATTAAAAATCGATTTCGAGGTTTCTAGAAGAAAAGGCTACTAGAGAGGCGGACGATCTGCCACACTTTGCGGGGTGACGCGGGGATATTTTCAAGATTATCGTACGTATTTTACTACTATACATAAACCATCCATATTTCAGACATTATACAAGTAAGATACTTAGTGCAATTTAGTTTTATATGATACGTGACTCCGTGCACGAATTCTTTGTTTACGCATATGCAATAGTCTTCCAATAGCTTTAGAGGTTGGCAAAAATATTTCAACAAAAATTGAAATATTATGCTATTATCCGTGTTTCGAATGATTTATTTAGCTTTGTTATTGGTTATATATACAAAAAGTATTTGTACTAAATCGCTTGCTTAGCTGTGTATAGTAATATAAAGATTACTTGTTTCGGTAAAATTATACGTAGCGTGACAAACTGTCAATTAGTGATAAATCGGCATTAATTATTAGAATTATGAGAGAGTTTTGTTTGGATGTTTGAGTTTTAATTTTTATTTGTGATATGTATATTATATTTATAGAAATAAAAGGAACATTCTTTGATAACCTAAACTTTCTTATGTTAGTCATTTACAAGCTGTACTTCAATATACCTGTATGTAGATATTTTATATTTTGCAATGAGTTTGACTAAAAATGACAAGATATTTATTTATTTTCATATTTTTACATGTATGGTATAATTTTGTATAGTTTGTATGTTATATCTTATTCATTATATTCATGCTGTGTAAACTGTGTGAAAGTACTAAAATAATTTCATGTATACATTTAGTTAAGTAAAAAATGTTATATTTGATATTATTAGTTTATATTATTTATTTATTAGTGCATCTGTATTAATATAATATATATCTTTAAGTGTTGAATATATGGTATTATTTTTAAGATATAGAAACATTTTTAAATAAATTAAATTATTAAGCTATGTATTGTTATTAAAGTATAAATTAAAAGTAAAATTTTTTTGATATAGTGAGTCACACTTAGTTTTTTCAGTTTAGATATATTTAAATGTAATTAAAAAACAAGTTGGAAGATGTATAGAAATTTTCTTCTAGAGGTGTTTCATCAAACATGGCTGCGCTACCAAGAAGGATTATCAAAGAAACACAAAGATTAATGCAAGAGCCAGTTCCTGGTATCAGTGCTGTGCCAGATGATACAAATGCTAGGTATTTTCATGTAATTGTAACTGGACCTGAAGATTCGCCATTTGAAGGTGGACTTTTTAAACTTGAGTTGTTCCTACCAGAAGACTATCCAATGTCTGCTCCTAAAGTTAGATTCATTACAAAAATTTATCATCCAAATATAGACAGGTAATCATATAGATAAATTTTTGACAAATCTTATAATTTATTCTAATAATACAAATATTTGTTTTTGTTATATTATCCTTTTGAATATTAGTTTATGTAATATATGTTATTCATTAATGTGAAAAAATAAGAAAAATGCCAAGTACTGATTTATTCTGTTTATATTTATATATCAAAGCTATTTATATTTGTTGTATAGATTGGGCAGAATTTGCTTGGATATTCTTAAAGATAAGTGGAGTCCCGCTCTTCAAATCAGAACAGTTTTATTATCAATACAAGCACTTTTGAGTGCGCCAAACCCAGATGATCCTTTGGCAAATGATGTAGCTGAACTCTGGAAAGTAAATGAAAGCGAAGCAATACGCAATGCCAAAGAATGGACTCGGAGATATGCTATGGACTTAAACTGATCTTAGATCATCCACAATGCGAAGTGACGTTACCCCTATCTTTCCGAGTTTACCGATCACTTTACCCGCACCAGCTGCGTACCCTGCACCTGTGTCCACAATTTTGCTATAAAAATAATAAAAGTTTTGTAAGAGTAAACAGAATGAAACTGTATTTTCTATATTGCGGGGAATACAAAGATGTCGTGTTTAGATTTCTTCAACGGTTTGTCGAGCAGACTTGTCAAGAATCTTCTAACGTTGAAAATGGTCAATCGTAAGAAGATTCCTCTTTCAGGAAGAAGGTATAATTTTAATGGATTACTAGTTTTTACTTAAAAACATACCTTTGTAGTAAAAGTAAGTGAATGTAGTATGTTGCGTAAAAATTTTTTTTAAATACGATTACAGAATGGCTTGTGCAATCAGTAATTTATAGCCTTTATTTTGGTACCTTTAATGTATCCCTGAAAAAGAAGCAGTACTGGGTCATTCATTATATTATACTAATATTACATTTTTCTGTATTTTGTAATGTCTACTAACTGGTTGTCTGATAATCTTAATGTATTTATCATTTCCGTAATTGTACAACGTTGAAGGAAAGGTATTATGATATTGAATTAATTTGAGATCGATATGGCATTTATTTATAATTAACTATTTTAAATAATAAGCGTACAAAAGTATTGAAGTTATCCGCGAATGCGAAGTTCCATTTTTGAAGTGTATAGCTATTGTAACGACATTTATCTATTGCAGATCTTTATTTGTCAGTGTAATGTAAGACAGAATATTTTGAGTATCTACAGGAAATTCCAATTATTTGATCGTGATATTCTTGATCGTATAAAACGTCATGTCTCTTATAATTATGTTAATCTACATTTTTACTGTGTAAATATATACATATACATGATGATGGAGTGAAAATTTTCAGTCTATTTTTTCTTTTTTTTTCTTTTTTCTTAAGAAAATTGGATAAAATATAATGAAATTAGGATACAAAAATTTGTGTTATTTTACACAATGTGTATATTTAGCAAATTGAGTACAGTATGAACAACTTGATATGTAATTATATACTTTTGATGGTATACAAAATTCGACAATGATCACAAAATGCTTCAAACAGCAGACAAATAAAAGTGCCCATTCTTAGCTAGTATATGTTTTGTAAAAATATTACAATCTTACTAATGTAATTAGAAGACGTAATATCAGTAATGAGCATTAAATTGGAAATGAAGTTGATTGCCTGCTTTCAACAAATGCCTAAGTGTTAAATCTTTACTGTTTTTCACAATTTCTATCTTATACAAAAATACTGTGCAAAAGTGAGAAGTACTCTTTGTAGAAATTAAAAAAGAGCCGTATGATTTGATTACAATTTTTTGTTGCTAATTGACTGAAGCATTTCGTTAATTTGCATTAATTTTACTTGTATATTTAAATTTGATAATTTTTAAATATTCTAGGTAAATTTAATGATTTTTTTTTTTGTATTGTAAAGTTTTGATTTCAGGGTAATTTTTTATAATTTTTTCGACATCAAGAATAATAATTTTTTCATATTGTAATATTTGATGTTCTGAGGTTGAAAAATAAATTTAATTCTTTGTGTTTATTTAAATGGGTAGCAGGATAACTATATTTATATATATATATATTTTTGTTTTTCCTTTTTTCTTTTTTTGTATATCAGATCTTTACTTCTCATATGAAAAAATCTCAATATGTTAAATTTCAGTGCAGTAAGATTAAAGGTTTTACCCATTTTATTTGCCACTCTAATTGAGGAAAATATTGATTAACATCATTTTATTAACTATAGTCTCATCTCTACATTTAATAATCAGATTCTTTTTTAAATTTTATTTTAAAACATTTGCTATGAATATAATATATTTTAATATCTTTAAGCTATTTTAACAGTCCTGCCCCTTTTGGATAATTCCAAGGAAAGCGAGTTATAGCATTATAGAAAATTTACAAATTGTTTTTATATTTAACATTGGAATTTTTTTCGACTGTAATCGTTCCGATAAAAAGATTTAATAAATGAGATGAAGTCAGAAATAAAATAGATAGTATATTCAGAATTTATTCATATGGATTAGAATTTATTTATACTCTTTACTGGAAATAGTATTCAATTTGCTCGTGCATATATAATTGAATACTATGGAATAATTGATTTCTTCATCGAATAATATTAATAATTAACGATGCATGCAATTTAATGCTTATACATTGTGAGAAATTAAAGAAAAATTAAATTGTTTAAATTAAATAGATTGATAATAGATTGACGTTAATGTCGCTTAACTTATAATAAATTATGTAATACAACT